TAAAATCAGGTTAGTTTCTTATTGTACGATTTAAACACATTATAGCACTGAAACTTTCTACTACCTGTAGGAAGGCACATTCAAGCTATAGTTTTATCTGATTTTGATCAGAAATTGGTGCGCGCATGTATAGGAGTTACGTAAATGTTTCACATGAGCGGTTCGATATGAATACAATGATACATAACACATAATAAGGCCTTAAGAGGTTTACCTTACAAGAAAGTACATGGGGCACATGTATTTTATTCAGCCATTAAAGATATATACACTTTACGTCACACACACACACACACCTGTGCAGATCCTGTTGTCTGCTTTCTGTGCTTGCTCTATAGCTGTCTCCCCTGTAATGGTGATAAATGCATTCAGGTAATGTGTTCTTTGTATTTGGTCGATGCACTTTTTGCAGAGCTCAGTGGCGGACACCCTCCCATCCCTCAGTGCCTGGGACACCTGTAGTAGGCAGGAGACATTTTATTTTTTTTAAACATTTTTTAAACAGAGTGTTTTGTCATTTTAGTAGGTTGATATATAAAAACCATGTGTCTAGATATTAAACAAAAAAAATCATTATAGCCTGCTAAAAAACAGCTTAAACGATTAAGCTGGTCTTACTGTTCATCCAGGCTTATTGATTGAATTTAGAGGATGTTTTGAACATTATGTAACATGGTACCAAGAAAAACAATGCGGTGAATCTTTAGTTTAATTTTTGGTTACGAGTAAGCTAAGTTAATTCAAGTTAAGATAAGAACAGACCTCTCTAATGGACAGACCGAGCATCGCTGCCGCCGGACGAAACGCCGCATTGGAGGCTGACATGACACTTCCCGTTGACCTCGTTGACGTCCTGTCATCTCTGCTTTCTGATTGGTCAATCGAAGGGCTCTGCGGCATGTGATTGGTTTAGTCTGTCGTGTGAAGGTTCACGGGTTTGTTTTGACTTTGCAAGACACGAGATGGGTTTTCGCTGAACTTCAGTGTGTTATAAAGCAGTTATAGGTTTTATTTATAATCAATGACGGGTTTATGGCACCGTGAGAGATTCTCAGGAGAAGAGCTTTGGATTGTTTTAGACTGATCAGTCATGCTTATGTGTAGAAGGTGGTTGGTGTGCTCGATGAGGGCTCATTATAGGAGCTTCAGTTTCTCAGCCTCCCTCAGGAATGTAATGCCCGCATGGGTCATCGACAAGTATGGGGAAAACGAGGTGTTGAGGTTCACCAAGAACGCGGCGCTTCCGATCATCCATTATCCCAATGAAGTGACCGTGAAGGTGCACGCTGCGGGGTTAAACCCCATCGACATCAGTATGAGGGGTCTGTGACAGGCGTTTAGCCCACATCAGATATCACTGCGTTTATGTTTCATTTCTCTTGTGGCATTTTAAAAAAGAACGAATGTATGAATCTTACATGGTTAAAAAACTTTTCTATGACAGTGAGTGACATATGGCCATATTCCATAAAGAAAATGTTTGAACTGTCACGCAATCATAATTTGCCTAGTCATTATGAACTGTCATTAGTGAAGCTTATTTATATACTATTTCGATTTTTTTATATATTTTTTAAAATTTCATTTAAATATTATTTTTTTAATATAATTTTTGTTATATTTTATTTATTTTTTCATCTGTTGAACAATATACAATATAATCATATATTAACCAATCAGAACCAAGTTTTCTTGAAAGTCCTAAACCTCATCCTGAAGTGTTTCAGAGGACATGCATTTAATGCCATAAATGCTTAAAAAAGAGCATGTATTTTATTTTTTTTAAATGTACAGCGAATATATTAAAACATTTTTGGTAAGAGTTTATAGTATACTTAAGTCTTTCTTTGGTGTTTGTGGTAGGTAGTTATGGAGCAGCTACTATGGCCATGAAACGTGACCCACTGAACATGAAGCAGTCAGGGAGTGAGTTTCCTCTAATCCTGGGGCGAGATGTATCCGGAGAGATCATAGAATGTGGGCTAGATGTGAACTACTTTAAACCAGGAGATCAGGTGCCATATTCAGCGATTATTTCATATAATATTGTAACTGCATATATATATATATATAATGGACACTAATAACCCTAAACCATAAGACGTCAGTTATTGAGGCCAGTGTCTGCTTGTTTTTCAGGTGTGGGCCGCTATCCCTCCGTGGAAGCAGGGCAGCCTGGCAGAGTTTGTAGTTCTCAGTGCCAATGAGGTAATATTCGGACTCATGTCTTGTAGGATAAACAGATAAAACATTTAACACATGGATCATTCACATATATAGATTAAGAGCACAATACAGCTGTTACCCTTAACGCTGTTTCATTGCCTCTACGTCTAGAAGTTCATTGTTAATGTCTGTGATTCAGGTGTCGCATAAGCCCAAATCACTGAGGCATGTTGAAGCTGCATCCATCCCGTATGTGGCTGCAACAGCCTGGTCCGCCATCGTCAATACTGGTGGCCTGAACAAAGACAACTCTTCTAAGAAACGGCAAGTACTAATTTGCAAGTATTTCAGTGATTATACCACATTGTCTGTTGTTCCTGTTGAGTCGAGTAGGTGCAGTTCAGGTGTTTAGTTCATCCAGTTAAAAGGGGCATATCGCATTGAATCAAGCTGGAAAAAAATTCCAGCATTGATTTGATACTATTATTCCTAACTCCTATATTTCATTTCACATTCTTAAATGTTTGAAATGCAATCAATGTAATCCTAAGGAACAGAGAAAGGGAGGTTTATGTCATTATAAGTGGAAAAAATAATAAAAATATATCTTATGGCCGCTTTAAACTAAAAATACTTGTTGTTGTTGTTCCTCTCTGCTTTTCATTTAGTCTTGTTCTGTCTCTTGTTTTATCAACTGAATTAGCATGTACCAAAATTAGATTAGGCATCTCAAAATAATTACAAATAACATTAACTACCAGATTGAAGCATTTATTTTACAAATGTGCTATGTTATGTAGAAGATTCTTCTTATTTAAAGACAATCATACAATTTTATGCAGGAAGTTCCGCTTTGCTTGCTACATAGTGATCTCAGCAACACTTGAACACAACAAGGATGATTTTAAATCAATCTTACTTTATTTTTAGTGGTTTGGATGAATCATCATATATAGATGTGGAGTTAATTAAGACTTACTGTAATAGATCTATCCTTTCCTTATGCAGTGTTCTTGTCCTGGGAGGATCAGGAGGAGTGGGAACCTTAGCTATACAGGTGATGCATTTTCCATTTTGCAAATTACCTCTTGTATTTCATCTCCTCAATGAGTAATAAAACATAATCATCTGTGTGTAATACCTCTATATAAGTGACATTTTGATTCAGTTTTAATCTAGGTTTTTGCTTCTCTACAGATGGTAAAGGCCTGGGGCGCCCATGTGACTGTAACATGTTCCCAGAATGCCGAGCAGCTGGTGAGAGATCTGGGTGCTGATGATGTTGTGGACTACACTGCTGGACCGGTCGAAAAAAAACTACAGACATTACAAAAGTTAGTGTTTGGGCAGTTTGTGACTTTTTTTTTTTAGAACTTGTGATTTACATTGAGTTTATTTCGTCCCCTTTCACTCTCTCTCTCTCTTTCAGGTTTGATTTGATTTTAGATAATATTGGGGGTGAAAGTGAGAAATGGGCACTAGATCTTCTGAAACCCTGGAATGGTGCGAAATATGTTACTCTAGTAACACCATTCCTGCATAACACAGACCTACTGGGCCTCGCAGATGGAATGATGCAGTCTGGAGTCACCATAGGATGCAAAGTGCTGAAGGTAGGGACTTCCCTTCCATGTGCTGAGAAAATGAAAATGAGTTTCTTCTGCCTCAGAATATAAATATAATATAACTCCTCTTATATTTATGGTTCATCTGTTTATAACCACGACCTTACATAATGATGTATGTGTGGGTGAATTAGCAGCATGTATGAATCACTTAATTGATTCTCTTAAAAATATCAGGAGGCTGCAGGAAAAAGAAACCAAAAATAACATAAAAGAAAATGAAGGAGTTCCTCCCATCCTCAACCAGTTTTTTCTTCACTGTTTGACTATCAGAAGCCAGACCCAAGAAGCGGTTGAAAATAGGGATGACACTGAGTTTATACAATATACCGTTCAAAAGTTTGGGGTTTGTAAGATTTTTTAATGTTGCTAATGCTCAGCAAGGCTGCATGTATTTGATCAGAAGTAAAGTAAAAACAGTAATACTGTGAAATATTATTACAATGAATCATTTTCTATTTAAAAATATTTTAAAATGTCATTTATTCTTGTGATGGCAAAGCTGAAATTTCCGCAGCCATTACTCCAGTTGTTAAGAGTTACACGAGCATTCAGATACTATTGTAATTTGCTGATTTGGTGCTCAAGAAACATTTCTTATTATTATCAATGTTGAAAACAGTTGTGCTGCTTAATATTTTTGTGGAAACCGTGATACATTTTTTTTTTTTTTTTTGATGAAAGTTCAGAAGAACAGCTTTGGTGTTTGTGGTAGGTAGTTATGGAGCAGCTACTATGGCCATGAAACGTGACCCACTGAACATCTTGTTTTATCAACTGAATTAGCATGTACCAAAATTAGATTAGGCATCTCAAAATAATTACAAATAACATTAACTACCAGATTGAAGCATTTATTTTACAAATGTGCTATGTTATGTAGAAGATTCTTCTTATTTAAAGACAATCATACAATTTTATGCAGGAAGTTCCGCTTTGCTTGCTACATAGTGATCTCAGCAACACTTGAACACAACAAGGATGATTTTAAATCATTCTTACTTTATTTTTAGTGGTTTAGATGAGTCATCATAGATGTGGAGTTAATTAAGACTGACTGTAATAGATCTATCCTGTCCTTATGCAGCGTTCTTATACTGGGAGGATCAGGAGGAGTGGGAACCTTAGCTATACAGGTGATAATAATGATAAAGGTTTGCCTTTTCCATTTTGCGTAATCATTTTACAAAAACGTTGGAGTCACATTACAAATTATCTCTTGTATTTCATCTCCTTAATGAGTAATAAAACACGTAATCATCTGTGTGTACGTGACATGTTTATTAAGTTTTTGCTTCTCTGCAGATGGTAAAGGCCTGGGGTGCCCATGTGACTGTAACATGTTCCCAGAATGCCGAGCAGCTGGTGAGAGATCTGGGTGCTGATGATGTTGTGGACTACACTGCTGGACCGGTCGAAAAAAAACTACAGACATTACAAAAGTTAGTGTTTGGGCAGTTTGTGACTTTTTTTTTTTAGAACTTGTGATTTACATTGAGTTTATTTCGTCCCCTTTCACTCTCTCTCTCTCTTTCAGGTTTGATTTGATTTTAGATAATATTGGGGGTGAAAGTGAGAAATGGGCACTAGATCTTCTGAAACCCTGGAATGGTGCGAAATATGTTACTCTAGTAACACCATTCCTGCATAACACAGACCTACTGGGCCTCGCAGATGGAATGATGCAGTCTGGAGTCACCATAGGATGCAAAGTGCTGAAGGTAGGGACTTCCCTTCCATGTGCTGAGAAAATGAAAATGAGTTTCTTCTGCCTCAGAATATAAATATAATATAACTCCTCTTATATTTATGGTTCATCTGTTTATAACCACGACCTTACATAATTATGTATGTGTGGGTGAATTAGCAGCATGTATGAATCACTTAATTGATTCTCTTAAAAATATCAGGAGGCTGCAGGAAAAAGAAACCAAAAATAACATAAAAGAAAATGAAGGAGTTCCTCCCATCCTCAACCAGTTTTTTCTTCACTGTTTGACTATCAGAAGCCAGACCCAAGAAGCGGTTGAAAATAGGGATGACACTGAGTTTATACAATATACCGTTCAAAAGTTTGGGGTTTGTAAGATTTTTTAATGTTGCTAATGCTCAGCAAGGCTGCATGTATTTGATCAGAAGTAAAGTAAAAACATTTTTTAAACCGTGATACTTTTTTTTTTTTTTTTTTTGATGAAAGTTCAGAAGAACAGCATTGGTTTGAAATATAATTTTTCTTGTAACATTATACATGTCTTTACAGTTTCCTTTGATCAATTTAATGCATCCCTGCTGAATAAAAGTATTCTTTCAAAAAAAAAAAAAAATTGTACTGATCCTAAACTTATTGACCCCTCTTTGTGCACTGCAGTGTAAAGATGAGTTTTTCCCTTTTTTTGGTGGTTTGTCAGAACACTCTTCGTGGCAATTGTTGGATGTTTTAGCAGTAAATCCACACTGGTTCCTTTTTTTCTGACATTAAATTGACACACAAATGCCTTCTATACATAGTAGCTTGTACAGAACAAACATTTACATTTTGCTCATGTATTTATGATGTAAATGCTTCTATTTTGTTAAATATTTAGCAAAATCCTGAAACTTTCCACATTTGAATTCGATTCTGAATTCCTTTCAGTTACTCTCATGGCACACAATTTCACATAAAGTCATGAGCAGTGATCTCACCGCAGCTGCTGATGACCCAGTCAAACACACTTTTCACAGCTTTACACCACCCTGTCCTGTGGCATGGGGACAGAATAAGGGATTTAATGAGTGTATATTCTGATCCAGAATGGATGAAGGTAGAATAGAAGAAAAGAAAAGAAGAAGGGTCAGGAACCTTAACCTGATCGCCTGACACTGTTTCATTGTTTTGTCAAGCTGGAGATGTGGAGCTAGAAGTCTATTGAGTACTGACACTCTCTCTCTTTTTCAGCACCTCAGGAAAGGCGTGCACTATCGCTGGGGTTTCTTTGCTCCAAGCGGCCCTACGCTGGACGAGATTAGCGAAATGGTTGATGCTGGAAAGGTACAGCAGCCTGTGTGTGTCTGAAATGTCTCCTTCCTCTCTCTTCAATAAGTTCTCTTAACTGTCAGCTCATATACATGATTCTCAGTTTTGGTAGTTTGGGTTGTTCACACTGACAGTGATTTACATCAGTCGAAACTCAACTAAATAGATAAATCACATCTACTTTCCACAGGCAGAAAAATGATTCCTTATCAAAACAGAATGACATCTTATCTTTACCAGCAATACAAAATGTCTGTGAACACATTTTCACATTTACTTGTGGCTCTTTGTCTTGTGCTGTTTGTTTGAACAAAGAAACGAAACAGAACAGTCATTATGAACTTGTGTTATGACAACGTGACTGCTTCATGATGGGAACAAGTGTGGAGTGTAGCTAACCTTATGATAAACATCAGATGTTGCAGATAGCAGACGTACGCACAAGAAAAACATTTCATTGAGAGAGTAGTTCTGGAGCTGAGATTTTTGTGAGTTTAATATCAGATGTTATAGAAAAGAAAAGGTTAAAGTACTATAATATTTGATTATTCTGATTTGAATATATCCTTATTGTTTAATGTTAAGCAGCATTTAAGGGAGCTTTTCAATACTGGTAAGCAGAAATTAAAAAAAAAAAAAAAACCATTTACAGGAACATTGCATCAGTGCAGCAGGCAGGAAATGTGTCTCATCTTGTTTCCTTTAAAGCTGTGTGCTGTTGTGCCTGTATGTCCTGTGTTTGCTAACCAGCTATGTTTATGTTTCCGCTCTCAACTTTAAGACCGTGGTTAATGAGTGTTTTGAGAAGATATTCACGATAATAAAATGTTCAATATTTTAGGACAATGTTTGGCCAGACTTCTGGTCTAATTAGTAACAGTTAACCACGTTGGAAGTCTAATGTATTGATTTTGTTCATATTAGTGTTATTAATGCTTCAGATTGTAGACATTAATATTATAATCAACTGGCATTTGATAAGGAGTTCAAATAAATCAGTTCAGCAGATCATGTTTCCTCAAGACAACCGTACACTGTAAACAGTACATTTACCATGAAGGTGACTTGAACTCTTTACAGGTACAGTCAAAGCAAACCGACGACTCATAACTTGGTTCTGGTGTGGGTCAAACCAGCAGTTTCTTGTTTACCAGCTCTGAGTTTTAACCACAACACCACAGCACACCCACAGCTAACCTACTATACACCCACCACCCACTCGAGCACCACCTAATGTATTGCAGGCGCATTTTAAAAGTTGATATTCAGTGGATTTGGATGAGATTAACATGACACCAAACATTTTTTTTAAAAACCATTTACAGGAACATTACATCAGTGCAGCAGGCAGGAAATGTGTCTCATCTTGTTTCCTTTAAAGCTGTGTGCTGTTGTGCCTGTATGTCCTGTGTTTGCTAACCAGCTATGTTTATGTTTCCGCTCTCAACTTTAAGACCGTGGTTAATGAGTGTTTTGAGAAGATATTCACGATAATAAAATGTTCAATATTTTAGGACAATGTTTGGCCAGACTTCTGGTCTAATTAGTAACAGTTAACCACGTTGGAAGTCTAATGTATTGATTTTGTTCATATTAGTGTTATTAATGCTTCAGATTGTAGACATTAATATTATAATCAACTGGCATTTGATAAGGAGTTCAAATAAATCAGTTCAGCAGATCATGTTTCCTCAAGACAACCGTACACTGTAAACAGTACATTTACCATGAAGGTGACTTGAACTCTTTACAGGTACAGTCAAAGCAAACCGACGACTCATAACTTGGTTCTGGTGTGGGTCAAACCAGCAGTTTCTTGTTTACCAGCTCTGAGTTTTAACCACAACACCACAGCACACCCACAGCTAACCTACTATACACCCACCACCCACTCGAGCACCACCTAATGTATTGCAGGCGCATTTTAAAAGTTGATATTCAGTGGATTTGGATGAGATTAACATGACACCAATGAGTCATCATCACGTTAAACTGCAGGTATTATCCATGTCCTCCCAGGATGTTCAATTTCAGTTCTAATATTTGTGTGCTGTTGTGTCCTTGTAGGTCCGTCCCGTGGTGGAGGAAGTGTTCTCATTTGCTCAGGTGCCTCAAGGCTTTCAGAAAGTCGAGCAGGGTCATGCTCGTGGCAAAACTGTAGTCTCCATCATTGAGGACGAAAAAGAGTAACTATGGCAACCAAAAACGTACTTATGCTGGCACTTTTTTCAGTGTCTGTTGAATTAAAAACATTTATCTAATGGCTAGTGTCTTTATTTTGCAGTATAACATTAGCAGGCAAGCCCTGTTCATTATTTCAAATCATATTCGTAACAACTTGAAAAGTCATAACAAAGAAACAAAAATGTTTTATTCTTAATGTAACAGTATATTTTGGAAATATGGGCATGAAAATATAAAAACACTAAAACAGATTACTAAACACATCAGAAAATGTACACAAACAACACACAACACCTACTAAAAAATCTTTATAAAGGAAAAAGGGGAGACAGAAAAAGCTCTGATCAGGAATAAGCCGCCTTTCAAATTTATGTGAGTTTGTGAGCAGGAGTGAACTGATGCCAGATCAGCACAGCTAGGAGTAAATGTTTATATAAAATTCTAATATGTGCAATAGTGCTTTTTATACTTATTTTGCAGAATAATCTGACAAAAAAAAACTGTACAGCAACTTAAAATGGTATGAGTCAACGAGTTCCCACATTTTGTTATCAGTGAGTTTGAATGGCAATAAATGCTACCTTACATTCAGAGAGGTCTGTAATACCTGTTTGTATTCTCATTCATCTGAACAGCAGTTGCTCATCTGGTGCAGGAAGCCTTGGAAGTATGCCATTTAAAATGTGCAGTTTTTGCTCATGGGCACTTAGTTCTGATCCACTGAGCCATTAATGTGATTAATTACTCTGGAGCCACAAGAAAATAATGTCATGACTGCTGGCACCACAAGACCATGAACAAGCCCTTTACTAGTGACCATCCTGAGATTTGACATGAAAGAAAAAAAAATCTATTTCAAGCTTTTAGGAGCTTTTAAGGCACTAGTAAAACATCTATTATACTAATTACTAGTAGTATATGACTATACTAAGTATCTATAACTTATACATTTCTTGCACAAAATAATTTAGTCAGAATACACAGCTACTTATGAATGAAAGAAGGTGCTTTTTGCCCCTATAAAGTGTAATTAGGACATGCAAGGGGTAAACTGGGACATACTAACTAAATTAACCTCGACTCTTTGCTGACACGAAAGCTGAACAAGGTCAGCTAAAGTGCAGCTACATACAAATCGTTATGCTACTGCGCCCTCTTTGGTAATATCATTGCATTGCAAGCAGGACAGTACTTTGTGTTTCTAGGTCAATGCAGAGTAAACAACAAAAAAGTACTAGCACAAAATATGTTGAAACTGAGGCAGGTCTCATTAGGGTCCTTGATGCAGTCGATGAACTTCAGTTGAACGTCCGAAGACAACTGTAATCTAGATGGATGATTTCAAAAGGTTTGGTCCCCCACACATTCTCATCTCTGGATAATAATCCCATCAGTGACAAAGACTCATCTGAGCCATTTTTGGGGTTTAGATTTACATAATCTTCTCAGTGCACAACAGCCTCAGACATTTTAGGGTTTCTGCTGAATAGCAGGAGTTAGAGAAACGGCCTCTGTTTTGACCCAAGCACTAAAGGATTTCCACAGTCCATCTCTGGTTGGTTTTCTGCTCATCAAAGGTGTTTAGAATCACCTGGTTTTTATCATACTGTTGGCCACCTGGATGAAGAATAGATTAAGAAATTCAAATTCGTCTCAAGATTTCAACAGGCAGTAACCTTAAACACACCTCTTTAGGTTTAAATGTGCAGTTTTTGCTCATGGGCACTTAGTTCTGATCCACTGAGCCATTAATGTGATTAATTACTCTGGAGCCACAAGAAAATAATGTCATGACTGCTGGCACCACAAGACCATGAACAAGCCCTTTACTAGTGACCATCCTGAGATTTGACATGAAAGAAAAAAAAAATCTATTTCAAGCTTTTAGGAGCTTTTAAGGCACTAGTAAAACATCTATTATACTAATTACTAGTAGTATATGACTATACTAAGTATCTATAACTTATACATTTCTTGCACAAAATAATTTAGTCAGAATACACAGCTACTTATGAATGAAAGAAGGTGCTTTTTGCCCCTATAAAGTGTAATTAGGACATGCAAGGGGTAAACTGGGACATATTAAACTAAATTAACCTCGACTCTTTGCTGACACGAAAGATGAACAAGGTCAGCTAAAGTGCAGCTACATACAAATCGTTATGCTACTGCGCCCTCTTTGGTAATATCATTGCATTGCAAGCAGGACAGTACTTTGTGTTTCTAGGTCAATGCAGAGTAAACAACAAAAAAGTACTAGCACAAAATATGTTGAAACTGAGGCAGGTCTCATTAGGGTCCTTGATGCAGTCGATGAACTTCAGTTGAACGTCCGAAGACAACTGTAATCTAGATGGATGATTTCAAAAGGTTTGGTCCCCCACACATTCTCATCTCTGGATAATAATCCCATCAGTGACAAAGACTCATCTGAGCCATTTTTGGGGTTTAGATTTACATAATCTTCTCAGTGCACAACAGCCTCAGACATTTTAGGGTTTCTGCTGAATAGCAGGAGTTAGAGAAACGGCCTCTGTTTTGACCCAAGCACTAAAGGATTTCCACAGTCCATCTCTGGTTGGTTTTCTGCTCATCAAAGGTGTTTAGAATCACCTGGTTTTTATCATACTGTTGGCCACCTGGATGAAGAATAGATTAAGAAATTCAAATTCGTCTCAAGATTTCAACAGGCAGTAACCTTAAACACACCTCTTTAGGTTTAAATTACACTACCATTTAAAAGTTTTTTTAAAAATAGAAATTAATACTTTCCTTCAGCAAGGATGCATTAGGTGACAGAAGAGAGATTTATGTTACAAAAGATTGCAATTTCAAGTAAAAACTGAACTTTCTATTCATCAAAAACGATTTATCATCACAAATATTATGCCGCACAACTGTTTTCAACATTAATAATAAAAATAAATGTTTCTTGAGCATCAAATCAGCATATTAGAATGATTTCTGAAGGGTCATCATGTGACACTGAAGAATGAATTAGCGGCTGCTGAAAATTCAGCTTTGCCATCACAGATATAAATTACATTTTAAAATGGATTAAAATAGAAAACCGTTACTTTAAACTGAAATAAAATGTTATAATATTAATGTTTTACTGTATTTTCTGTTCACATAACTGCAGACAGTAATGCATTAAGTAATACAAGACAGTAATACAAAAAGGTGTAATACATTAAGTGGGTACTAGAATGATGGTTTCCTGCTGTGCTGACTGACGTCAGGGTGGCGCTCAAGTTACACAGAAATTTGAACCACAAACAACCTCATTCTGAATTCAGACAAACAAAAGGAGCCATACAGCAGTGATCTTACATCACAGTCCAAATAAATAATTTACCCTCATCTTACTTTCGATTTCGATTTCCCTTATCTCCTGCTTTACATGTAAAAATAATTTTTTTCAAACTATTTCTGACCAATGAATGACTTTTCCAGCCAAGTAAGAAATGTTAAAAATACGGTTGTAAAGAAGGCACTCTCAAAGAGTAATTTCTAGCCAAATAAATAATTTAGCAGCTCATATTGACAATAGAACCTCTGTATTTTCTGTTCACATAACCGCAGACAGTAATGCATTAAGTAATACAAGACAGTAATACAAAAAGGTGTAGTTACTAGAATGATGGTTTCCTGCTGTGCTGACTGACGTCAGGGTGGCGCTCAAGTTACACAGAAATTTGAACCACAAACAACCTCATTCTGAATTCAGACAAACAAAAGGAGCCATACAGCAGTGATCTTACATCACAGTCCAAATAAATAATTTACCCTCATCTTACTTTCGATTTTATTAATGTTTTACTGTATTTTCTGTTCACATAACTGCAGACAGTAATGCATTAAGTAATACAAGACAGTAATACAAAAAGGTGTAATACATTAAGTGGGTACTAGAATGATGGTTTCCTGCTGTGCTGACTGACGTCAGGGTGGCGCTCAAGTTACACAGAAATTTGAACCACAAACAACCTCATTCTGAATTCAGACAAACAAAAGGAGCCATACAGCAGTGATCTTACATCACAGTCCAAATAAATAATTTACCCTCATCTTACTTTCGATTTCGATTTCCCTTATCTCCTGCTTTACATGTAAAAATAATTTTTTTCAAACTATTTCTGACCAATGAATGACTTTTCCAGCCAAGTAAGAAATGTTAAAAATACGGTTGTAAAGAAGGCACTCTCAAAGAGTAATTTCTAGCCAAATAAATAATTTAGCAGCTCATATTGACAATAGAACCTTTTAAAATGTTATTAATGATATTGTTTATAATATATATTGTGTTTTATTATATTTTAATCCTATTAATATTTTATTAGAATAGTTTTGGAATATTATTAGCATTTAATTAATATTTAGTTTAGTGTTAAATGGTAGCCCCTTCATCTGTGCTACAGATTCAGACACATCTTCGCCTCTGACAGGATGCTGTGGTATGTATGAAGGGCGGCAGTGCAGTTGCCTGAGCAGATCGAGCGCAGTTGCCAATAGAAATACCCCACAGGTATGTGACATCAGAATGTGTCATCAGTAAGAGATTATGAGCTCGTCAGTGGAGGGTGTAGGTTTATGACTGACAGACACACGTCTCATGTGCAGGTTTCTCTGTTTATTGTTCCACTCCAACCATTCTGTTTCATTTCTTTTCATTGTCTTTTCTTTTATTCAAATGTATAAAGTACTGACCTTTGACCTCCAGCACAAGGTCAGGCTTGAGGTTGTTGCGTATGATTCCGTCTCCTGTGATGCTCCAGAACTGATTGTCTTTGCCTGGTTCAGGTGAGATATTCAACCTGCCACCTGCCATCACCACACCTCCAGATGTCTCCACACAACAGTCCTCGACCATCTGAAGAGAAAAAGCCAGAGAGATCATGGTCATGATGAGTAGACAGTAACTTGTCTTTTGAAAATCAGATTGCACGTGTTAACAAAAACAGCATTCTTCCATCTTAGAAACATCACTGTGCTACGGAACATTTGACCAGCTTCTGATGCAGAAAAGCTAGTTCATGCATTCATGACCTCTAGACTGGACTGTTGTAATGCACTGCTAGGTGGTTGTCCTGCATCTTCAATAAACAAGCTACAGGTAGTCTAAAATGCAGCGGCTAGAGTCCTTACCAGGTCAAGAAAATATGATCATATTACCCCAATTTTACAGTCTCTGCACTGGCTACTTAAGTTCTGTATCAGTTACAAAATATTACTACTTACATACAGTATAAGGCCCTAAATGGTTTAGCTCCTGTGTATCTAACCAGTCTTCTATCACGCTACAATCCATCATGCTCCCTAACGTCGTAAAAATCTGGACGTTTGGTAGTACCTAGGATAGCAAAGTCCACTAAAGAAGGTAGAGCATTTTCACAGTTGGCTCCCAAACTCTGGAATAGCCTTCCTGATAACGTTCGGGGTTCAGACACACTCTCTCCGTTTAAATCCAGATTAAAGACACGTCTCTTTAGCCAATCATTCACATAATGTATCTCATAACCTCGTACTCCAGTTATATCTGATCAAATGCACATTAACATTTTTTGCTTGGTTTGAACAGCAGCTACGCTAATATTTGTCTATTTGCTTCTCTGTTTTTGCTACGGGATGGGAATCCCGAGTGTAATTCCCGAGAATTACACAAGCTTCAGTTTGGATCCAGCCCTTACAAAGATCTGAGATGACCGAACACCTGAGAAGAGATGATACCAACCCCTCAGTTGATGCCAACCCTGAACCAACATACAAAACTACCAAATTTTCCTTTAAGTTTGATCACAACATATAATCATTGCTGTTAATAGTGTCAGATTGTTTGTTCGAATACATGTCATTTACTAAATGCATAATTTTTACTCTACATATGGATATCACTTTGACATAGTCACCACTGATAAGCTACTCCTAAATGTAATGTAGAAACTTTAATTCTATGTGAAGCTGCTTTGCAACTATTTTTATTGTGAATACAAATAAACCTGAATTGAATTAAACGGAACCAGAGTCAACATCACAGGTGCACTCGAGTACAGAATTGGATCTGGAAAGGTGACCAAAGTGTAGAGTACCTTGCAGCGCAGAAGTCCATTCTCATAAACCCATATCTGCTCTGGACCACCAGTTTCCTCCAGCACTTGCACCCGGAGCAGCTTTAAATCATCCAGTGATCCAGTCAGAGACATCAAGCAGCCCGTTTCGGCACTACGCAGCCGGAAATAAGCACGTTTCTATTGAGAAAGACACAGAAGATACATGTTAGATGTTTGGATGTTTAAACTAGCTATAAGAGAAACTACTATTGATAAAGTTTGGCTAAACTCTAACTCGCTTAATGTATTATTATGTCATCATGGATATTAACGGTCTCATTCTGGATTTACTGGAGTATCTTTATGTCCACATGTTGTGCTGTGTTTGCCCTGCCTTTATATGTGCGGTTCCCAAACAATTAACTCTCACACCTAAAAGCAAAACTAGCCAAACCCCATTGAATCTGAACACACACACAGCAAAACACAAGTAATTTCACTTCCTGAGAACTAGGCATGTGGTGGCGTTTTATACCTGTAGTAACGGACGCAGAGAGCCAATCTGCTCCCAGCCTTGGAACTTCTGCCAATCACCGATCTCGCTGGGATGGAGCAGGACCTGACGACCACGGAATTTGCTGTATTCATACAACACCCAGCTGATAATAACAAACACAAATACACAGAGAAAAACCTAGTAATTTACATTATTTTCACATCCAAATGACCCATAAAGGAGAATAATAACACTACATTTGGTGTTCCACACCTACACCGAAATCTGAGCTTTGAATATACTTCAGAAACCACTCACATTCCTCCATTGACCAATAGAGAGTTGACCCGCCCATCAATGCCAGCCAGAGACAGATTCAAAACGCCATCGGTCAGAACCACTTTACGTCCTCTGAAGCCAGATTTACAGAAGAGTGTGATGGAGGGCATAGAGAACTCCTGAGTGGACAGAGAAACAATGAACATGTGTTTATTACAAAAATCCAATCATTTAAATCATAGTCAGCTATGACATGACCGAAAACAAGGCTGTCCTTTCAATATGTTGCACTGTTTTGTACCTTTCAGCCCACAAAGCACTGAAGATGTCCCAAATCTCTCTAGAATTATTTCCTGTCAACATTTTCACTTTTATTTTGCCTCACTACAATCAAGATAAATATTTTAGCAACATTTTTGTCAGGAAAAACCAAATAGCTATAATGTAACTACATGACAGACTGCATGAACACACCTCTGCTGAAAGACATGGTGAACATTTTACATTTTTTCTAGGTTTTTTATTTTTATTTTCATCATTGTCATTCTTGGCATTACAACAAATTCTCATCCTGTTTAGCCAGATGAATAATATGATCAATGCTCATGTCTAGTTGTTTAAGTTGACAAGGCTTAAAAATACATCTACATGATCCATGAAAGTAATATGTAGTGCCAAGATAGCATTCGTCTTATAGGGGATGTCAAAAGGATCCATCCTCACAGCCTCATTTTCAGTCGGAAAAAATAAAATATTCTGCCTAGCCTAGGGATCTTTTTCTTCTGATCCCATCATCTCTTCAGTACTCACATGTCCTACAGTGTGCACAGAGCTGATTTTGCAGTTTGAGTTGAGTAAGCCCAGAGCATCGGGATTAGCGTATTCTCCTTCCTCCAGTACATACATGTTGTCAGTGAACTGTGGGCCATCGAACACCACCCAGCTTCAAGCAGAGACATGCACAATAAAATGCTGATTATTTTCAAACACTCTCCAATCTTGCTGCTTATTTTGAGCAAAGTCCTCTTCAATTTTCAAAAGTTTTGTTACAGTGTGCACAGTGCTGATTTTGCAGTTTGAGTTGAGTAAGCCCAGAGCATCGGGATTAGCATATTCTCCTTCCTCCAGTACATACATGTTGTCAGTGAACTGTGGGCCATCGAACACCACCCAGCTTCAAGCAGAGACATGCACAATAAAATGCTGATTATTTTCAAACACTCTCCAATCTTGCTGCTTATTTTGAGCAAAGTCCTCTTCAATTTTCAAAAGTTTTGTGCACATTTAATGTTCTTGTGTGATTCTGTTTGAAGGAAAAATGTCTAACCTCCCAGCCAAAACCTTGCAGGACATTGGGTAGAAGCCCTCCGGCAGGAACGCCACACTTTCATCTAAAGCCTGCATTGCTCCCTTGAACCCTGGTTCGGCAAACAACTGCATCTGAGAACCAACAAGAGTCAGAGCGTTTCATTAGAGGATCACATGAATGAAGCTTTAAAAAAAAGGTGCTTCTTAATCTAAAATCACTTTGATAAGATGCAGAAGATCATCAGAAAAATATATCTAGTTGACTAGAATAACTAGATCTTCACTTCAATTGAAACTAGGAATCTGTGCCTGCAGAATTCCTGAATGCCTGTCACTCACAAAGCTGTACACATCCTGCCTCTAGCATCTTCATTTATCAAATTTTTTATCATTCTTTCAGCTGTCCGTAGGATTGTAGTTCTCTTAGCTCTTATCTTTAAATCCATTGCACAGATTTCCCTTTATAATCAGACTCCATGTGGAACCATAACATTTGGGCATGTCCATTAAACTCACCTTATATCTGGACAGTCCTTCAGCCTGTTCCTGAGGCAGAAAAAACATTTATAAGACATGGTAATTCAAACACAAGCAAGGTTTTATTGAGTAATAAAATTGCAAAAAAAATAACGTTGCAATAATAGATTACCAAAACCACAGGCTGAATGGACAAGATCTTGCAGTTGTGTGCTCCCCAGTCCTCTGGACTCCCATAGAGACCCTTCTCTAAAACGTACAGCTCACCTGAGAAGCATGCCTTCTCGAATGCTATCCACCTGTTCAGTCGGAAAATAAACAGTTAGACCTTTTTAACTCAGCAGATCATTATCAGCATAGCAGGTAAGAACTTCAACCATGAAACAGTTTTAAAACATAGCATATATGAGAGCTACAGAATAAAACAGACAGTTGACTGACAACTGACAAAATCATCCTCCCATCCTGTATACACTACCGTTCAAATGTTTGGGGTCTGTAAGAATTTTTTTAAAGGGTTCATGAACTGAGAAGGGTTCATCAAGAACCTTGATCTTTTGACATATAAGGGGTCATTGTACTATAAAAACATCCTGTAAGTTTCAGAACTCAAAACTTTCTCGTTAGTCTAAAATGATCCTATATTGAAGCCAATCTGATGTAATAGTGTGGCTAAACACATCCTCCGCAGAAGATCAACACCTGCTTCTACATCACTGCCTGTTTAGCCCCGCCCACCGATTCACACATGTAATGTTAAAAACAAGTGAGGCAAACGCAGGACTAAGCAGAAACCAAATAATAAAGATGGATCCGAAAACATCAAGAAGCTGTGCTGTGCCAAGTTGTGGAAAAACAGTCTTTGCATTGTCTAATCCCAACATTAGGAAAGAGTGGATAAACTTTATTTTTAATGAAGTTCCAGACCGCGTCAGTAAGAACTTGGTCCGTTGTTCACTTAATTTTACCGTGGATTAATTTACAAACAAGACACAATTCGATGCAGGATTTTCAGAATGATTGAAACTAAAAGAGAATTCTGTGCCAACACAAGTGTGAGTAAATGTTTTTATTACGTGATCACTATCGCTTTGTCTGTTATTACAGATCATTTGATATGTACTGAGTATTTATGCGCTTTTAACCTAAATCACATCAGCATCCATCTGAATGGGCTGTAGGCTGTCAAACATACACAACTGTTAGCCGATCATATCAATGGGTGTTTACTTCTGAGTCTACAATCTGCCATGCCTATTCAAACAGAGCGTTCTGATGAGGGGGGTCAGAACAGGACAGAAAATAGCCTATTACTTCTAAATTATGATGTTTTTTGATGTAAAAATCATGATAACATTATAAGTGGACCTCAGAGAACAGTACAAAATAAAAAACAAAGGCAGTTCATGACCCCTTTAAGAAGTGTTTTATGTTCACCAGGCTGCATTTTATATATATATATATATATATTCATATACATTCCTATACACATATAGCGCAAACAGTAGAACATAGTGCTACAGTAGCAATGCCACGATCATGGGTTCAATGCCCAGGTACAACAAGAACTGATAAAATGTGTACCTTGAATGCAAAGTCACTTTGAATAAAAGCATCTGTTAAATGCATAAATGTAAATCTAAATTTTAAAATGTAATTTATTTCTGTGATGGCAAAGCAACATTTTTATGCATCCTTGCTGAATAAAAGAATTAACTTCCTTTAAAAAATAAAATCTTAAAAACAAAGTTTGTAATGTTTTGATTCATCTTGGGGCTGGTTAGTTTGGTTCATGACTCTGTATTGAGGACTTTCTTTTAATCCTTATGAACAAAATTAATGAAAATATTTTGAGAACCAAGACTACTTAAAATATGGATGGTGACTTCTACACACTTAAATAATGACAGAATTATCATTTTTGAGTGAACTACTGATTTTATCTCTGTAAGCAGCTTCCCACAAGGGCTAATAAACATTTCACTAACAGATTTACAGCCGTACCAAGGTCGAGGGTTATGAAAGAAAGGAAGAAAAAGAGAGAGTGATGCCTGAATGAGGAAACAGGGAGTTTACATGCAGACACTCACACGCCAGAGAGGACTTCCGCTGATTGTGTCTTTATGCCAAAGCCAGTGGCTTCCATGCTAATGACAGGTTCCAGCAGGTCCACATTCATCCCTCTCTCACTGAAATCCCGCTCACTGAACATTCTCACGTGAGGAGTCATGAATTCCTACAGAAGGACACAAAACCATGAAACGACTTGCAACCTTCTTATTCCAAGAAAACAGCAGTGTCAGAAAAACCCACATAGAGGCTACACAAAGATTATTAATGCTTTTCATTTCAAGTCTTCCCAGCATAACCTGCTGTGAGGAGGTTATGCTGTAAATTATTTATTTAATATTAATCTTGAACTCTTTTATTCAGAAATGGTCTCCGTGTACATACTGCTAACACAGGACGTATAGACAGGAGCCTGTCTTCCAGTCCACCCCAGTCAGTGAAGTCTGCATACTCTCCTTCCTCCAGAAGGTACTGGCGACCCTCGAACCTTGGTGCAGAATATCCTACCCAGCTATATATGAACAATAACATGAATCACTGCTGGATCCAGCTAAAGGCTATAAACATCAAGTAATGAAGGTATGTGTAGATTTACAGTAATTGGGTGACATGTTGATATGATAGTCTGGCTGCCTTTGCAGACTTTGAGACCAAACCAAAATCCTACCATGTCAGCTGTACTGTACTCACAGGCCACTCAAGATCTTCAGTGAGCCGACAGACTTTAGTCTCTTTCTCCTGATGCTGTCAGGACTCTTATTTTCATCTTCTTCATCCTTCTTCTCTTCCTCTCCTTCATCAAAGTTGTAAATGTCCCGTTCGATCTCTAAGCACTCCCCTTGGAACACTGGATTTTCAAAGAGTACCGCCTGATTTCACATAGAGAAAAAAAACACTTTACAGCTTCTTGTATATTTAGAATAACTTCCTGTCAACTACATTCAGGGCCAAAATTGATTTTGCTTTGATTTGTATGGTACATTTTCAACATTTTGTAACTGCATTATTATTATTATTATTATTATTAAAGTTCTTACATTTAAATTATTATTCATCTTCTTCATCCTTCTTCTCTTCCTCTCCTTCATCAAAGTTGTAAATGTCCCGTTCGATCTCTAAGCACTCCCCTTGGAACACTGGATTTTCAAAGAGTACCGCCTGATTTCACATAGAGAAAAAAAACACTTTACAGCTTCTTGTATATTTAGAATAACTTCCTGTCAACTACATTCAGGGCCAAAATTGATTTTGCTTTGATTTGTATGGTACATTTTCTACATTTTGTAACTGCATTATTATTATTATTATTATTAAAGTTCTTACATTTAAATTATTATTAAATTAATTAATATACATTTAAATTACATACATTGAATATGAATTAAATTAAATTATTAAATAAAAAAATTAAATGTATGACAAATACTTCAGTTGAATTCTCCTGAAAAAAAAAAACTGTCATGAAAAAGATGCTTTATTTCATACAGCAAAATACCTGACATGTTCAGTGTTTGACTGGGGTGTGTGTTTGTTTGCGTACACTTGTGGGTAGAATATTCTGAACTCTGGGAATTCTTCCCCCAGTGTCAGTGAGCCTCAGGCAGAGCCGACTCAAGTCCAGTATACTGCGCTCAGAGCCCAGCAAGACATGAGTTCAGGAATGCCAGCAACTAAACTAAGCCAACAAACTGACTTCCCTGATCCATCATAACCATTTGACTGTTTCTTATAAGTGATACTTAATTGTAATTAAACCATTATCGGATCATATGCCTCTGCTGTGAGAATCATATACTGCCAAAGTTCTGACTGCATCTAACTGTAGTTTCAAAGTCAGACACAATGTCGCTGCTCATTCATGGCTCAGAAATCAAAAGAACAAACAGTGGCACGGGCTGAGCAAGCAAAGAACAAGGACAAACCCCATCTCTGGGCATGCCCAATCTGGTCCAGACTACCTGCACCAACAGGTACTTTTAATTCCAGGCTGTACAGAATGTCTTTCAGCAAATAAACGTGTAAAAATGTTAGTCTTTAGTTGTTGTGTTTTTCTCAGTGAGCTGAACTATACCTATTTGTACAATCAGTGTTCAATGTGATTTAACATGTAAAGCATACCTTAATTTCATTGGGATTTTCCACCTTAATTTCACCCTGTGAAAAGCAAAAGGAACAGTTGTATATAAACCTTTGTTGATACATTTTGTTAAAAGATGGAATGAGATTAAATGAGTGTGTGAAAGTGAGTGGTATGTAACTACCAATTTCAAGGGCCGCAGTGATCCTACAAAAGGGGTGGGAAAGCCCCAGTCCTGAGGGCAGGGATATACTCCTTCCTCCAAAACAGCCAAAAGACCCTGGAAACCTGGGTCACTAAAGACCAGCCATCTACAAACACACAACTACAGTAAGAATAGATCTAATAGGATTTTAGAACCTGGTAAAAGATCACTTTCATTTTGTAATTTAAAAACATGCTTCATGAAGTTTTGGCAAAGAACAAACATGCAAAATGTCATCTCCATCCAACATGCAACAACAAGAAAACAACATTCCAACTGTCTCTCTCTCTCTCTCTCTCTCTCTCCCTCTTTCTTCCCTTATCCATCCTCCAG